TCCTTTTTTTTTTTTTTTTTGATGGTCGTTACCGCTTCTGCAGCTTTGCGATGCTTGACGTGCTGCTGATCTGAACTGTCCCTGTTCCTCCCATCTCCTTTTTCAGACTTCTCCCCTTAGTTTTCCTTTTTTCGATGCAACGAATGGGTCCCAAGGTAGCGAGGAAGTTAAATAGTTGAAAGTCATTTTAAAAATTCCCATGAATCCCTTTTTTAATTATGAAAAAGATTTTCAATAAGAAAAATATAAATGAAAGGCCTGAAAATGAGTTCAGCAAGGATGAAACTGCTAACAGAATGGGACAGGAAATAGAAATGATTTGCAGGTAGGACTCAGGACTAAATGATTTGTTTATGTTTGGATACTGGAGAACATACTAAAAATTGTATCAGCTGCCTTTTCAGGGAGTTGGATGGCTCTAGCTATATTAAATAGCTAGAGCTGTTTATCACATTGGAACTTAAACTGTTTCTCTGGAGATTAAGTTATGCCAAGGAGGAAAGAAAGCAAAGAGAAAATGTTTCCTATGCCAACTTTTCCTATGCTGACTACGCTCTCGGCCATTTTTAAAAACAAAGAAACAAGCAAAAAAACCCTCTGCAACTTAAGAGCAGGCTGGGGTTGGGCTGTGTTGAGATACTGACTTGGTTTCAGTTTTGATCTCTTGACATTGACAGAACCTTGTCTGGCTGAGCCAGGCTTATCAACCTGAAAGTAACAAGCAGAAGAGGGGATAGAAAATGCAGGGGGGGGGGCGTTATATCACTAATGCTAACGTCAATGCTAGCATCAAATTTCAGATGGATTGACAAAAGTCACCGAAGGCGAGGTTTTCCTGTTTTTTTTTGTTTGTTTGTTTTTTTCCCCCTCCTGACCTGATCTGGTCAATCTCAAACTTAAAATTCTCAGACTCAGACTGGACAGATCAGCCAACAGCATGGTGATAGATGTGCTTTCACAAATCCACTTGCTTCCTACAATCTCAGAATGAAGCTTGCTTCTGTCTGGTTATGTTAGCAAACTCAAAAGTACAAAAAAAGAGATGGGTAGAAGAATTTGTTCTCTTTATTTGCCAATGAAAACTTGCTCTGCTAACCAGTTCTATTCAGTTGATTAATCAGAAGGTCATCTTGTTAACTTAGGCAAGATTGCAGCATGCTACTCTACTTGCATCCAAAGGCCTTTTGTGTTTGGTCTAGTCTTGCCTTTTGGTTTTTAGCTGTTTCTATCTCCTCTTAATTTTGTTTTTAACTTTTTCCCAAAATGATCCGAGAAACAGATTTTTTTTTTCATTTTCTATGCATCATTCCTACTTGTTTCCAATATTAAACAGCATTCAGTAATTTATTTATAAAAAAAATAGGTTAAGGGAGCTTGCCTTACCAGGGACATGAGTAATACCATACAAATCTTGGCACAAAAGTGATACAAATAAGTAGATATTCTTAGAATGCAGTTCTGCATAACCGTTCTGCAAAAGCTGCTTCAGTTCATCCAACTACTTACTTCTATCCATGTCTTTAGGTCATCCCAGTAAAACGTACTTATCTTCCTCTTCGTCTCACTCTTCTCTCTTACGCTTCTCTGATTTTTGCTGCAACAGCATGTGCTTCCGATTGCAGTGTTGTCCTTTCTCAGAGAATAAACAGTTTAATAGTCCTAGTATATTCTAGCCTTAACAATGCGCTCCTAGGCTGTACTTTCCCCTTATCAAATGAGGAGAAAATATTTATTACTTCTAAATTATTAATATTTTTATTTATGAACAGGAAGACTACATATTTAAAAGACTGATCTGCAAAGCACATGACTTGGTTGCTTCTCGTTCTTGAAGAATCCGATCTTCACTAGGCAAATAATAATCAGAAGACTAGATATGTCATTTTTAGAAAAATTGCTGAGTAGTGCAGAGCACCAAAAATGCCTTAAAGAGTCAACTGAAGAAAAAATAAACATGCTCAGAATCGTACTGAAATCTCCTCGTTTTAAAAAAAAAAAAAAAAAAAAGGGGGGGGGCAAAGCAGCAAAATTCAAGATACAGGGAAAGACAAGATCAACATTTTGAAGATTTCCTGCACAGGAAAAGCTAGGTATTATGCACCGCTTTATAGCATGATCATCCTTCTGCATTGATAATAAAAATGGTATACTGCTTCTGATCCTTAGTGTTTGTTTATATTATTCTCTTTCTTTCCCTGGGAAGGGGCAGGGTGGAAGGTAGGAAATGTTGCTTATTTTTCAGAAAGAAACATCTTATTTAAATTAGGAGTAGTTTATATGCAGCTGGTAAAAATGTACTGCTATCAGGTGTTATCATCACAAATGAAGATCTTTGGTCTGATAACTTGGAAGAAGACAGCTCCACATCATCACTCTAAATGCTCACAGCACACAAACTGCGGATTTGTTTGACAAGAGTCATCAAAAATGTAGAACAATAAAATAAATTACTTTCTTCTTTTTGTGTTAAGTTCCTCATCTGAGCATATGCTGTGTGTTTATTTTGAAACTGTTTATGCACATTTTAATTGCTGTAAAGTTGTTACTATAAGTTAAATTATGTTTGGCCTAAAGCTGTTTTTTGCTTTGCATCCGTGAATGCTCCATCAGTAATAAAGACATTCAGTAATTTAACTACCATATTTAGGGGATGACTTTGTAACTTATCCAGGTCAGCAATGAGGTGACAAATTATATCCTCCTAAACATAACAGTTGTATTTTAAAAACTCATGACCAGGAGGAGACTTCCTGTAGTGCTCTCTTTTCACTCTGCTAAACCAGCATTACAGCTGTGCAGTTTTTTTAATGAGAAGCTGTTAATTCAGTGACTAATATTTAGTCTTGATAAAAGAAGATTTATCATCTTAACCACCTGTTATGGAAATGACTTGTTTCTTTGAAAACAGAGCCAACATTTATGGAATTTCACTGCTTTAATTTGGTTCTTCTAGAAATACTAAATCAGGATTAAAATAGTAGAGATGGAACCTCTTTCCAATTAAGATATTTCAGCCTGTTTTTTTTTTTTTTGGTCAGAAAGAGTATGTTGTCTTTGATGAGATTAATCAAGGGTCTCTTGGGTCTCTTGATTGCTTGCCATGCATTTGTGCTGAGGGTTAGGTAGTACCTAACAGAAAACTTGTTTGATATGTGTTTTGTGTTGGTTCTGTAAGTATTACTCTCTATTTAGGTTTGTTCTTCCTAAAGTTTTGATACTGCCTATTTTAGGAATTTCAGCAAGTGTAAAACAGAAGCATGTTAATGGAGTGGGTCACTTTTACACAGTGGTATTATTAATTTGCTGAGTTATATTAGCTGTGCACAAACCTCTAGTAATTGTGCTAAAAGCTGTGTATACATAAGATAGCCTTTGCCACATAGAATTGGTAACTTAGTCTTCCCCTCTTCCCCCTTGCAGCTATCGTAATTATCCTTTAAAATAATCAAGACATAATTTGATTATTGAAAAATAAAGAGGATATAATTACACTAAACACTAAAGATCACCTACAGAGTGATGCTTGTTTCCCTTTTAATGTTTGCAGAGTTGCTTTTTGTTAGGAGAAAGCTCAGAATTGGAGGTCAGGGAGTGTGGAGACATTTTCAAAATTAAGTAGAGAATCTTATACTGACAGAGTTGTGCTGTTTCTGACTATGGCAGGATATACATCATTATGAAATGCATATTCAACGCAGAATGAAAAGCCACTCTGCTAAGTTCTGTGAGAAAATAATACAAATTTCTTTCAGGCTGGACCATTAACCAAAGTGACCATTTGTAAGGACAAAGAAGGAAAACCTAAGTCTTTTGGATTTGTCTGCTTTAAGCATACAGAATCAGTGCCTTATGCAATAGCTTTGCTGAATGGAATCCGTTTGTATGGAAGACCAATTAAAGTACAGTATCGGCTCGGTAGGTTTAGTAGTCTCAATGATTAAGTTTGCCTAAGTAATAGCTAAAATTAAATTCTGGTTATTTGTAAAAAATATTGTAGGATATTTGCACCCTGAAGTCTTTTAGAAATATGATAATTTATAGTTGAACAAATTACAGTCCATTCTTTTTAAGAAACATTAACTTTCCATGGCTTTTGTATAGGGAAGGATTCACCCTTTGTATTTTTGTTTATTTAGAAAGAAACAATAGGTTAGTTCAGAACAACATTGTTTGTAAGACAGCTCAGACAACAAGCTACAGAAGGAATTTACAACAACACTGGCATGGCAGTTTTCCATGCCAGGTCACATTTAGAAATCAGAACGTGACTTTAATTTGCAGTCTGACAGGAGCACTTGATTAAGAATTTGTGCAGCTGCTTTCAAGCTCTTTGATGATAGGTTTTATACTAAGGCCATAGAGATACCAGAGCTTTTATTTTAAGTGGAAGGGACTGTAGTGAGAAGAATACAGTCAGATTGATATTCTTCATTTTATGTTTATAAAAATAAACTTTCTGTAAAACAAATGATAAAGGCAGTATTTGCTGCTCAAACATTTAGTGCTGGTGTTCCCTCTGCACGCTAGGCTACTCCTCCTTCCTTAGAAGGCTGCACAGAGTAGTTCCTGTGTTCAAGTAAAATGACTGAGGTTACTAAAATCAGAACTATCTCCTATGAGGAAAGCAAATGTCTGCAAACAAGTGGAATGATTCTATTTTCGATTACTTCAGTAGCCCTGATTTACACTTCTGTAAGTGTATTTGAATACATGATAAATGAGCGTCTTAATGCTGTAAAATGATGCTATAGATTTTTATCTGCCATAATACAGCACCTTGCCCCTACAACTGCTGTAATATGCTAGCGCACTACAGGTAACAGAACAGTTTCTGTGTTTTTAACTTGTTAAACAAATAGTCATAATTGAATAGTTGTTATGCTCTTATCTTATTTACAGGGAGTTCACACTCTTCAGAACTAAACCACCCTGCACACGGTTTTGAGAACTATGTTGACATATATTCACCTTCATATAGGTAACAAAGATCACCTGTGAATTTAATCGCATGATTTTTTTAATCTCATTAAAAAGTCAGTTGATGGTAGAATGAGGTAGTGTATTATGAAGAAATGCAGTATCCTTCAGAAACATCACTTATAAAATGAGAAAAGTGATCCTTTCTGATATTGTTTATAGGAACAGAACAAGGTCCTAACAGAGGAAAAATCAGAATGTTACAAGATAGCTAGAGTTCCTTTCAAATATTTTAAGAGGAAATATCTGTAGCGTACCAGATTTTATCATGTTCATGTGACGTTTCTTTTGACTAAAACACAAATTTAATATGCTGGTGGACCTCCGTTTTAAGGAACATTAATTTATTTCTGATGTTATGCCAGATCCTTAATGACTGTACTATATTGTCACAAACGATTCTTTTGGAATTTAATATGTTGTATTTTAAATTTGCAACATGAGATCAATCTGTAGACTTCATAAAACAGCCATAGCACACTCACGGCATCTTTAGTGACAGCTTACAGCTAGCCTTAGTTAATGTTTGGTTGTTTAGCTCGCCAGAGGTTCAAGCAGCTTAAGCTTTCCAGTCTTCGTTTGTTTCTGCAATATACAGAAACCTGAAAAATTATTGAAGTATGGTATTTGTACTAGCAATGTTTTGATTGATAGTTAGTTCTTGGGGATAAAAATCTGACAATGGAGATAAGCTTTTAAAACCTCCTTGAGTTTATATTCACAGTCGTGTTATTTGCACAAGGGGTTGTCACGCGCATATGAATGCACAGGCACAAACTGTCAGGAATTATAAACACCGTAGTTTCAGTATTTTTCAACATTTCAAGTTTAACATTTTTGTTTACAAGTGTGACAGAACTCTGTGCAGAAGCTAAACTCCAGTAGTCCAATTGAAAACTGTTTTGAGTCCGTGAACTTGAGTGGATGTGAAGATTATACACTGCTTGAGTCTTAGGAAGTATTTTCCTTGTTTTAAGTCAGTTAGTCACAGAAATTCAGTTGTTAATATCTTAATCCTCCTCGTAGACATACTCATTATATCCCAATAGTTAAATCTCAGCACTACAGTAAGCAGTATTTGGTGGAAGTCTACCCTTTGTGTGTTTGCTTGTTTTTCCTAGGTATCAAGAGCCTTATGGAAATCCTCCATTTCCTGTTATTCCTTTCCCAATGAACAATAAGTTACCTCAGGAATACTCAGTCTTTCAAAAGATGGTGAGTTTTTGCTAAAAGTTATAAATGGGGGCGGGAGGGGGGGAGTATGAAGTTGAAGGTGTTTTGCATTTCTGCAAATAAGGGTGCTTATTTGGTACCTCAAAACATCTTTTAGGCTTCTAACTTTGACTATATTAGGTCACTTTATCACTTAAGGGTACTATAATAATATGGGATCAATTAAACCAAACCAATTTCTTATTGTAAGAATGTCTTTAAGTCATGGAATATCTTTAAAGTATAGCTTAAGGTTGCCAAAATCTACAGAAGGAGCTCTTTACTGTCTCTTGTTCCATATCCTGTTGTTGAGACAAGCCAAACTAGCAGAATTATAACCATAAAAGCAATAGCCTTTTCATACATGACAATTCAGTCACAGAGCCTCTAAACTCTCCTACTCGATTCAGATTTCCCCAGCATAAGTTTGAAACATGGACCAGTGTGTTAAAGCAAATGAAAACTCCCACAACACACCACCACAACCAATGAGAGAAACAACTCAGGGCAACAATGATTTGAGGGTTTCTGGCCTGAACCTTGCCTTTGCATGTTCATGCCTCTGCATTCAGAATGTGACATTAGTGGTCCATTCCTCCTTACCTAATCTCTACTGAGATATTCCACAAGGCAATTGGTTTCTTCAAATGACAACCTATGGCACATATCCCGCTCACCAAACACATTCATGGAGCTTCTAAATCTGATGAGTGTGGATAGGTAGGAATGAAGAAACCCAGCGGTCTTTTTAATGTGGGATGTGGACTATGGGCAGTACTGGTGCCACCCAGTCTGACTGGGGAATGATCCAACACCTTATAACTGCAGAAGGGATGAACTTTGGGTGAGTTATTCCTGCTAGTTGCAATCTAAGGACAAAAATGGAGAGGGACTATTCCCTGTTACATGGATCTGGTGCTGGCCAGCCTCACGTCTTCCTTTGCTGTGCCCCTAGCAGAGCTGGTGCTTGCACAAACTTTCACATCCCTTCCATTGTGGTTGAAAGGGCCAGGAGCGTACCATCTCCATCACTTTGCTCACTGGTGACCACAGTCACTCCATAACAATCTTGCATACACACCAAGACACCAAACTGTCAGCAGATTAGCACACGCAACCAACTCCATCCTCTGCCTGCTGGAAGGGACAATACAGCAGGCTGTCTCCAGTGACGGCTTGTTGCTATAGACAAGCTTAAGTAGAATGAGCTCTTCTCACATATTCCTCCATACACATATCTCTCACCTTTATCTGAGTGGGCCAGGCACTTACGTAGTGCCAAGTACTTAATTTGGAATCTGCACATAGGATATACTCAGGCATGCTCCGCAATATTTTTGTGGTTACTGCCAGACAACACAAAGTCACTCTTCCTTCTCTGACCTTTGTAATTCTATTGTTGTATTTGAGGTGTGCACTTTTTTATGAGAGGGACTCTGGATACTTTAGGGAACGTAGCAAAGAGCTGGGCACTTGTTGAGGTGCTCCAAGGGCTGTGGTCTACGGATTCTCTATACCTTGTTGGAATGCCTTGTTGCCTGGTTACTTTAAAGTTAGTTCAATCAAAATAAATTGCAGATGCGCTGCAGTTACAAATGTGTATAAAATACACAGATGAAGAAGTGAAAGGAATGCCATGTTTGATTACCTTACACAAAGATTAAATCGCAGTTTAATTTTAAATCAGATTATGTCTCTCTGTTCCACCTGTGCAAGAAAGATTTGTCTACTTTTTCCAACTATACTAGTTGATCTAATAAAATATATAAGATCTACTCACAAACCTTTTGTGTTAAAGTTATTTCCTATAACTTGCTATCAATATTTTCACTGCAGAAGCTGTAATGCATGCAAATTTAAACTCTTCACAACTTTCTCTGAACAGTATTAACAACTCGATTTTTACTTCTCTAGATGAACCATTTTTTAGCACAGCAGTACACAATACACAGTCCAGTGGGTCAACAATTTCCTTTCAATCAGATGACTTCACCACTGCTTTCAAATTTATCCATTCCTCCCTATCAGAATCAAGTTGCAAATTTTAAGTCTGGACAGAGTTATTTCGAGTGGGCCCTGCCACATTCAAGTGATTGCGAAGTGTACCAGATGGATGAAAGCACCTCTAAAAGAAAGAGAGAACAGCCAAGTTGTGACAGTGACAGTAGTATTGAGGATGACAAAAAGAAACGAGGAGAATGTGACCAAAAATACAAGAAGTGCAAAGCAAAGAAAAAAAGGCATTAATAGTGTGTAACTGGATTCATTATTTTCTTGTCTTAATTACATTTGATCTTTTTTATTTGAGATAAATTCTCTCATCCTTGCACTTTATTAGAAAAGGAATTTTCAATATTTATATTATTTTTGAAATATGTTATGCATAAAGTATCCTGATACTGTAGTACTGTTTAAGGTATAGGAAACTTATTTAAAACGATGAAGTTTTCCTAATAAAGGACAAAAATAGTTATTTTTATTTTTTCCCCAAAATCATGGATGGCTGTTATTTCACTAATATAGAAACCTAATGAAAATGCATAATTTCAGCCATTCAAGCACTTTCATCACCCATGACTGTATCGTGAATGTTTTATTGTGAATTATGTAATAATTGTCTGGAGGTGTTGCTAAAGTCAAAGCAGTGAGCAGGACAGAAATTCTAAGTGTCATATCAGGGTTGTGATTGGCACTACAGCATGAACAGCTATACTTTTTTTTTTTCCAAGTATAAGAGCTTTTACTGATTTAGCTGCGGTGTTCTCTTCAGTTAGGATCACCTTGTATGTTCACTAGAGCTATTTTTTTTTTCCAGCAGTAAATTTTGAGTAAAATGTGGGCACTTGCACTAATTACATGACTTACATATGTATCAATACTCAAAAGAATGTGTATATTTTACGACTGCAATATATACTGACAAGAACTACAAGAATATATGCCTCTTTCTATAAATTTATTCTCTAGCGCTTATTTGCGAACACTGAATGTTATCCATAACAAATGGATGAAAAGCTTAATGGAGTATCTCCATTAGAGTTCTAATTGGTAGCATGAGGGTGTGAGTCAAGTGAATTACTACTACCTGTTAAGAAGAAAAGTTTTTCCCCTGTTTAGCAGAGAAAAAAATAAACTTTCTCACATGGTGAATCAAAATAATGAAATGACCTATTCTATATCTTTCATAACTTTTCACTTCACAGCTGCCATCAACACCTACAGACAAATACAGAGGTATTATACAAGAGCAAGTACAGATGAAACACGCTTCAGGTACTATTATATGACAAAGAGAAAAACTTCATTTTCAGCTATTTAATATCGCATAAAGTTAGGTCCACTACTCAGACTATATGTGGGCTCCACAGTAAACCTCACATAAAAAAAGATTTTGGGTTTTCTGATTTATTAAACTCTTTTTTTTTTTTTTAATATAACCTTAGTTTGCTTGGAAGGAACACTCTTCATCATTACTTCAGTACTGAGAAAGAGCATCCAAGTTTATTGTGAATAAGGCGATGAACTGCTGGCTTGTTTTACAAGCCCAAATAAGTTTCAAAAATGGAGAAAAACCCAACATTTAGCTTTCAACAATTTATATTTTTTCTGATATGTCACAGCTAATAAAATCGATTTCTTATGTGTTTTAACTTCCCAAAGGGATTACTTCTTGAGCCTAAGAGACACTACTATAACACCACAGTATGACACCCTTGAGATGTTACTAGCAACTGAATTCAACTGTCTCTAGAGAAAGAATGTACTTAACAAAGGTTTACACCTTAGGTCTTTAAGAAACATGCTAAATCTGCCTGACCCCTCCTTTTCCCTCCGCCCTTCCACACAAATGCTTGCACCTTTTATCACCCTACGAATAACTTTAGGACTAGGTTGTGTAGATATTATCCAACTTCTGTTGGAATATATGACTGATGTTATACCAGTCAGTTGCTGATCACAGAAGCTGCCAGGACGATGGAAAAAGTTAACGAGTGAAATACACTCAACTTCTTTAAACTTGTCTCACGTGTTAAAGAAATGTAAATATAACCAAGTGGAGAAAGAATATATTAACATTACATTAATTTAGAAGTGATGTTCATCAGACAGAAGAGAAACCAGAGAGATGTCCAAAACAGAGTTAGCCTAGATAAAGAGAAGCTTAAGTCTATGCTAATAGGTCCTTATATGTCCAGACTTCCCCAGCAGATAGGTAAGATAATCTGTTCTGTGCAATTGTATGCTACAAAATGAATGTCACACATGATTGTATGCATATAGCTGATAAAGTATCAATCCTATTGTTTTAATGAAGTATTTTTTTCTTAGCCACTTTCTTCCCAGTCTTTTTTCCCTGAAGGAAGTGTGGGTTTGTAGCACCTCTCAATATCCGCTTACCTGAAACTCTTCAGTGCGTTAAAAGAATAGTTAGGCATTATGTTAGTCATAACTAAATCTCTTCTATACATCTGATGATAGTTTAATCAGGACTTCATTTTAGTCAGGGCCTTGTTGATATTTTAATTACATTGTCACCAGGTTTAGGAAATTAATTACTGTATACAGAAACACTTGGCTGTAGCCTTGACTAATTATTTGTTCACCCCTTACCTATTTCAGTCACTGTTTTCATTCTTTAGCAAAATGTAACAAATGTTTTCTATGTTACTTTTGTTTTTGAATTACTGTTGAAATCTTGTCCTCCTCTTTTGCTTCCCATACTACTAGCTGGCCATACAGAATCTTGTTTTCCCTGCTGTCACATTTAGCCTTGTTTCTTTACCCTTTATTACATGGGACGGAACGCATGGTTATTTCCACTACATTGGACAAATGAGTATCGCTGCAGTCCGTGCTTTAATTTAAAGACACAGTGTGCCAGGTCAACAAGAGTGAATCAAAGGGGAGGTCAGATGAGAAATTAAGACTACAGAGTGAAAATGAAAATACTGACTTTCATTAACTTTTGGAGAAACTTCCATGTTTAGAACAAAACTACAGTGACAGAAATTATTACAGCTTCCTACGTTCCTTTGCATCTAAGTCGTAATGAGCTAGCTGTATGAAAAAACACGAGGCCTCTAAAAAGCAAAGCTAAAAAGCTGTATAAATAACAAAGCTCAAAACACATAGCTTTTCTATACGACTTGCCAAAGTTCCCAGTGCTGCGCTAGTCTGGTTTCAGTGACAGACCAGTTTTAACCACTAGCTTTGGGGGAACAGTTAGGATGACAGGGAGCATACGCTTTTCAAATTTTATCTGAAAATATTTAAGTTGGCTCTGTTCAGTAGCGATTGCACTGTAGTGCTCCCTGTTTTAGACGGGAGACCGATTTGGTCTAAAGAGGAGAGCACAAAGCAGCTCCCTTCCTGCGTGGATCCGGCTTTAGGGCACAAGGACTATCATTTGTTCATCATTTTCTGATGCACTAAAGTCAGCAGGACGCATCTAGCTAAGACTTAGTCCAAAAAACCTTGAATTTTTCCACGTTTGGTCACCATGCCGCGACCTGTCTGCGAGCAAGCCCTCTCCTGCCTCCGGCCCTGGCAGTTTTACTTGACTACTGTCCGCAGTCCGGGCCTCTGGCTAAAAGACACCGGCAAGGCACAAATCACATACAAACCGCTCCCTCGGCGGCCGCAGCTCTCGTTTTAAGGCGCAAAACGCGCTTCGCCGCAAGGTCCGCGGTTGCGCCGGCACCGCGCCGTCCTGCGGAGGGCTGACGAGCGCCTCCTCTCCGAAAGGACGAGGTTCCCCTCG